TACCCTAGTGTTACCCCAGTATGTACAAATATAGCCATAAGTGACCGTCTTTATAGACACAGTGTCCGACTAAGTCAACCCGGGACCGGACATTCCGTAGGCCTCGGCATAATGCCTGTTAGCCTAGCAAGACAAGGAGGTAGGGATTTTAGTTTAGCTGTTCAGGATTGGAGCTTCATGATTTTTAGGCATGATATTGGAAGTTCAAAAATCAAAACCCTGTAGAATCCTTGATATGGATCCCCTTGTCCTTTTGCCATATCCGTAAAACCTAGCCTCTCTTTCCTAAAAAGTACAGGAAACCGATACCCTAGAAGAATCCAAGAAACATGAAGGATCCCTTCTCTGGACATAGTAGTAGATTCCCTAAATGGGGACACCAATATAGGCCACGAAAGCCTATGCTTCTTATTCTGGGGATTTGGGGAACCCCACATGAGCCATATCCAGGGTCCCCCTCTCCCCCTATCTAATCCCCTACATAACCCCTTTTACGGAGTTTAGACCCTAAACCTTATTGTCCCATATCTGATTCTAAGCCCTGAGCCCTACGGATCACCCCTGACCCGATCTTCCTCGAGCTGCTCCGTACCTCTTCGGCTTCGAGGACGCTGCTACTAGAACCTCGAGAACTTTGGGTCTACAGAGCTTAGGGCTGAGGGTAGCTTAGGGCTTAGGCTTCAGGATCGGGGGCTTAGGATGTTTTATGTTTCCATTGGCAAGGGCTTTGGCTTACGGGTGTCGGTGGCTTTGGGGAAGATTTCCCACCCGCCCTATTTCGCACCAGCACCTCAGAACCATGGGGTATGGGGGTAGGATTCAGAGTGCAAATTTTACGGTGCGGGACTGGGATTGGGCTTAGTATGGTATTCAGGGTTTAGGGAAGGCTCCGTGGCGCGCTGCACCACGACTATGCCATGGGGTTTAGGGCGTCTAGGCATTAGGGTCGTTCCCAAAATTCTGGGTCCCTTTTGGCTACAGTTTATTCTACGGAACCTAATAATTATTTAGAGGTACCAAAATGGGACCCTGATTTTGGGGACTACCCATTACTCTTCCTGTTCACTCAGCTTGTCGTGTCACGCTTGCATGGAGTCATGGCCACCACACCTGGCTGTTCTGGCCCCTGGATAGCTGGGAATGAAGGAATGGAAAAGAGAATGGAAACTACCATAATGGGATATATAGGGTCTACTACAAGGATGCATTCCTTCATTCCTAGCGAAGCAAAAGTAAGCTTTGTAAGCTTAAGCTCAAGATTCGGTGGTTGTTGCGAAGCAAGATCAGACACGCAGCAAATGTGAAGCCTCCACGTAAAAACATGCGGGATCGCTTAATTCACGCTTCTCGGATGCAAATGAACCTGTACAAGTTTGAGTAGGATTACAGAAAGAAGTGTGCCTAACGCTCCATGTTGGACCACCTTGAATACCAGATGTCGAAACAAAGCGGACGCGTTGAACGAGGACGTGTCGACTGTGGATTGAAATGGGCATGTATACCTGCCTCGGTGTTCTTTTTGTCAGAGACAAGGACAGTAAAGCCAAGGACAGTGGAGCCCGAAATTACAGACCTGCTTCCACTACCCTCACTTCCCCCCGATTCTCATAGTCCCTTACCTTTTCACAATCCCTCCTCCCACTCAAGTGCACCGAACTGAGACTTTGCCTGCATTTTTTGCTGCCTGTGCCCGCAGTCATGCAGGTGGGCGGTGATTTGTCTTGCTTCATACCCCAACTCAACCCTGCTCCTCCCATGAGCCACACCAAGTGGGGCCTTGAACCTTCAGCCTTTCCGAATTAACCAATCTAGGGTCTCCAACACAAATCACCCCTTAGCGCAGAGGCCCTTCAGTTTGAAGGGTCCTTGCAACAACATGGCCTCCACTATGGGAGGCTACGACTCGTAGCCACGCTGGAACATCCAAACTTCTGAAGCTATGTCAGCATCGCGTCAACGCTTGAGTGTGCTGCTCTTAGTAATGATTACCGACGTCATTTTTATCAGCGGAAGTAGTAGCAGAGCACTACGCAGGACTGCTGACATTGCTTGTGTATGTCTTCAGAGATTCGGCGAAATGGAGCGCCTGAACGTGCGCGAAATGAGGAAATCGAAGCTTATGGACAACCCTTTCTACTTTGTTTTTGCAAGTCAACTTGGCTGTGTTATGTTTAGCGATGCGGCGTACATGGCCCGCCGCCCAGAGAGTTGGGATTCAAGTTGCACACACAGATGGCTCACCATGTCTATGTTTTACTCTCAGTATTGGCAACACTATTACCATTTCCTTTACTAGTTCTAGTAAGTAGTCAGAAGTTGCTGAGCAAAATGCCAACAAAACTTCCGGTCGCTAGGGGGGCTGCAAGCAACCTGAAACCAAACATAAAAACGATTAACGAAATGGCTAGCAGCAAGGCCCTTACCAGTTGGCGTCAGGCCCTCAAGGGAGTCATGAAGCTAATCCCCTCCCTCATCAACACCGGGCACATGCGGCCACGGTCCGTAGGATACAAGCTTCCAGGTGTCCAGTCCTTGACATGTAACCCACCGACCAAATGGCTGTTTACGAACTTCCGACTCAAACCTTACTGGTGATCTGTAGATATTAAAGCCCCAAGCACCCGTAGACAAATTGGCCACCTTGCATCTCTTCGATATGCCAAAAGTGCAAAACTACAATGCCCCCTACACTTCTAATGCCCCACACTGGTCTCCAACCCGACAAACGCCTCCCTGCCTTCACCGCCCTTCACTCAGTAAGGGGGCCTTGATAACCCCAACCCCGCCAATCAGGACCTTGCAAGAGATATATGATATCGTTATTGTGGGTTGATGTAAACAACATCGCTTAGAGAGGAGACAGTACTGGAGACTAGACATATCTGAGGACTCTGTGCGATCATTTCACGCTGTTCGTATGTGGCACAGCCCATAGGGCGCTGAAAAACTGCCACATGCCACATGCTCTTAATAAGGTGGAGTCCCCTTGGGGTCCTGATCAGGATTTTAGTTCAAGGGCACCTAAAGGGGACCTGTTTTTTTTCTCGAAGAACCATGTGATTACCTGGGATCCTTCGGGTGGCCCTATTTCAACATGAAACTCCAGCCGAATGACGTGGCCTGGGGCAGTCTGAATCATGGTGAAGCCCCTAAAAGTTTTGCCTTCAACGCTCTCGATCATCTTGAAGTACATGGACTCCAACCGAGGCCCAGGGTATGTTCAACACCTCACACTTGTTGTATCTTAGGAAGGCTACAACCCATATGCTGTAGCTCACAGCACGAGGAGGCTCTCGGAACATAGCAGTCTCAGCTCATTGATCAGAACCTCGCGGGCCTCCAGTGAATCGCATGCTGTGCTTTTTCGGGAAACTGATAACTATTGCAAGGTTTAGATTTTAGCTTTTGACGATTGCCATCTACGGGCCTGTGCGGGGTCTAGAGTAGGGGGTCGGCGTTCAACAAAAGCCTGTGCGCAATAGTAAAGGGAAATCCAGACTCGGGATTTGTAGCTGCGCATTTGGGTTGCCTCACATTAAGGTTTCAGGGCTCCCTGCTTATCATGAATACTCGTCTGCGTATGCGAAAGCCGTCCTTCAAATATGATCATCCGGGCAAAATACGGGGCGCTTCCTACAGAATGTTCCAGTCAGAAATGTTCCACCCTCAGCCTCAGATGAGTTCCAAGTTTTTTGCACCGCATGGTGCCATACCAGGGCGACGTTCGTGTCCTCAGACCATCTCAGACCTAGAGGAGTTGATTGGTTTTGGCCTTGATCCTCGACTACGCTTCAACACAAGGCACTAGGTAGATAGCAAGGAATGCAACAGATGGAAACTACCATTTTGTCTAGGGTTAACGTTTTGGGCAAACCTTGGACACACCTCGCTGAAAGCGCCAACGCCCTGAACTCAGCACTGCCTTGTCTGGAAAGCTCGGAAGCTTCGCCTTGCAGATTCTCAGCAAAGTGCTCTCCCCCAAACAAGCGAACAAACAGAGAAGCCAGAAAGGGCTTTCCCATTGTCCTCCAAGGGGCCCTTGGGGACCTTACGTATAGGTAGCGTTAACCCGTGGGGATCCTAGCCAGGGCTAGAAAACCTATAATAATTTTTTTTGTATGGAAAGAATATGGAAAAATATGAAAACCTTAAATCTTGAAAATATGGAAAAATATGGAATAAATATGACCCAAAATGCCCCTACAAACAGGTTTACTCCGAACAATATCCCTGGGGTTCTAGTTGGGATCGCTGTGCTGACAGTCTGCCTGCAATCTCTGTGCACAGTCAAGTGGTCCAGGTCTTTTTTCTCGCTTCCGTCCCTGCAAGTCTGGTGTTTTGCTCGGATCTCTGATCTCTGGCAGGGACGGAAGCCTGACATTGCGGGATGGAAAAATTTCACTTTTGCCTGTCATGGCTCATCAAGTTTTTGGCTACCTCAAGTACTGAACTCTTGTCTTCTCCGTTTATGATTTCATTTGATTTCGATTAAATGGGAGAATCACAAAAGGAGGCGGTTCTGGGGGCCCTCGGAAACGGGCTGTCTCTGCCCATATTGTTTTCCAATTTTTTCCATATCTTTTCCAATTTTTTCCATATCGTTTTCCATATTTGTTCCATATGTTTTCCATATTTTCGGGAATCTGGGCCCCCTAGGAAAATATGGAAAAATATAGAAAACAATATGGAATTTGGGAATTTGGTGTAAAAATTTGGGAAAAATATGGAAACCAATATGG